GGCTTTAGAGGAGTCCAGAGGCAGTGTGGCGGTAAGGAAGAAGAACAGTGGGAGCCTGCCCTCTGGAAGCTCCGTTTTTGTGCCTTGAAAGTGCAGTCAATGGCTCCCCCCTCCCCCGGCACTTGTTAGCTCACCATCAACCAAGCAGAGGGCTGGGGGCTGGGCGAGGCTGTAGAGACAGAGCCTAAAACCCAGCAGCCGCCCTTTGTTCCCAGGGGCTCCAGGTGAAGATGGAGGAAGGGGTGCTGCAAGAGAGGAGGAAATGAATTTTCGTGGCATGACTGTAAACCCCAAGTGCTCTCTGCCTGGAATCAAGTGGAGACATTTCCCCCAATCCTGCTGATTGGAAAACTCTTAACAATCACCAGAAGTGCTTCTGTTTCTCTTCGGTCCCCTGACTTCCTGCTGTACCTGGTTGGTCCCAGGCCTGTGGCGCATCATGCTGGGATTCAGCATGAGCAGGGGAAGAGATGTGATGCCCCCAAGTTGTTAAATACCCATTCAACACACTGATGATAGTGTGGCCCAAACTGCGTGCACCCCCAGTGCTGTGGCCCAATGTCTTCTCCAGCCCCTGGCTGGGCATCTGGCCCACTGGGCCCGGGGCAGGTTGAGGCTGGACGCCCCTGCCCTGCTTGCAGATCTGGAAGCGCAGGCTCTGCACCCGGCCAGTTCTTGTGCTGCGGTCTGAGATCTGGGAAACATCTGAGCTGACATGTGTTTCCTCACAAGGTCTGTGAGCACTGCCTGGCCGTCAGGCATGGTTCTGGGCACCAGAAGATGCCAGTACGCAAATCAAGTGAAAGGAACAGGAATACAGTGGAACACAACCGGCTAGTGTTCTAGTGAGAACAGGCCATGCCAAACCAGACCCGCTGTTGCCGAGTTGACTGTGACTCAGGGTGACCCTGAAAGACAGAGAAGTGCGTGCACCTTAGGGTCTGTGAGACGGCACATAAGCAGACAGCCTCCTCTTTCTTCCGCCAAGTAGCTGGCTGGTGGATATGAACCACTGACCTTGTGGTTAGAAGGCCAACATGCAACCCACTGTACCACGAGGGCCACTTTTAGGGCACAGACAGGCTATGGAGAAGCAAGCGGAGAGAAGCCTCCACCCGGCTGTTGGGGGCAAGCCGGAGGCAGGTGAGGGGGGGGGGTGTGACTGCATGAGGTGCTGGCGTTAGATTGAGTGATAAGGATAGGGCTCTTTGATAACCGACATCTGTAAATTTCTGGTAACCTTCTCACCAGAAAACCAGAACCAAGACTCAGAGGCCTGACCTCTATCATGGCCGGGTCAGCAAGGGGGCTGGTGAGGGGGTACAGAGGGGTGGGGGTGTGAGCCAACAGATGGGAATCAGGGACAAACTCCCATGAGCCAAGGCAAGGACTTAGAATCCAATCTGAGTGAGTGAGATGGAAGCCCCTGCAGCTTCATAAAAGGGGCTTGCTGGCTGCCGGGAGAACAGCCCACAGCCCTGTTAGGAAGGTCTGCAGAAAGCCAGGTCCTGAGATGACGATGGAGACATACCAGTGGGCTTCAGAAAAGTCATAGGAAAATGGAATTAAAAGAGGCTGAACTTTTCCCAGGAACTTTTTGAAGCCCCCTCGTATAGGCACTAGACAAACACCAGAAGGGCCAGTGGGGAGCCCGCTGGTTGGTCAGCTCTGTGCTCTGACCCTTGAGAATGGCTCGTGTCAAAGGAAGGGAGCTCTTGCTAGGGTGTGATTCCTAGCATCACTCAGGTGGGGATGGGGCTAGTTAAATACTCGTCAGAAGCAGGGGCAAGAAGTGCGTACCTTCTCAACTTGTAGTTGAATTCAAGAAAAATGAGAAAAGCATATTTGTTTACCCCAAGCCCTTTGCAGCAGATCCTTTAAAATACCAAAAGGTTACTATTCAAATTTGCCTCTTTTCACCCACTTTCATTCTCCAGTTGCCTGGAAGAGCTGGGGTGCGGTGAGCCTGGGTGACGCCTTGGCCAACCACTGCGCGTTAATGAGGAAATCCATCCGTCCACAATCACTGAACTTCCTATTAAAAATCTCACCTACCAAAGAAATCCTCAGGTTATCCCCCTGCACAAGCACTGCTTGCTCACAAACCCCACCCCTGCACCTTGTGGGATCCTCAGTATTTGCTGGAGAAACCTGTGACCTCTCTCATGTGGTGCCTCCCCGCTGTCTCCCCAGCTTCCCACCACCAGCAGCGCGGAGGCCTTGGGTCTCCAAGGCGTGAAGGGGTCCACTCTGGGTGGTGAGCATTCTCCTCCCTCCTTCGCACAATGAGGTCATATGAGGATTTAGTTAAAAACAGTGTGGTTTCAAATTCCTGTGGCCCTGGGTGGCTGTCCCTGTGGCCGGCTGTGTCCTGACTGGTGACAACTGAGGAGGCCTAAAGCGTTATCGCCAGCCATTCTCTCACATACCAGAGTTGACCGTCTTCTTTCAGCTTCCACTTTTTTTTCCCTTTCACAACAATGCCTGTTGTCTTTGAGTGTTGCTTTTCTCGGACTCAGTTTAAAGTTCAGGGGAGAAGAGAGCATCACTCCCCTGGAAAGATGCTGCAGCGTGGCATGGCTATGTGGCCACACAGATCAATCTCAGTCGACAGTTCAAACAACTCCCCTCAAAGCCAGGAACAATTATCCCCACATTCCTAGACAAAATCCTTAATTCTGATTGTTCAAAAGCAATCCTGCTTTTCTTCTAGGTCACACATTTTAACAAGAACACAACACGACAAAACACACTGCCACTGCGTCCACTGTGACCAACGGCGGCCCCATGGGGCAGGAAAGAACTGCCCTGTGGATGCTGTGGTAATTACAGTGCTTCCATGTCAACTCGATGAATAGGTTATAGGGGTGGAGGCTAGCCTGTCCATCAGGTCTCAGCCTGACTGATGCCTCCATGTGGGCGTGGCCTTCTCATGAGGCCTCTGGGAGTTTTCCTCTCTTCCTTTTCCTCCCTGGAGGAGGGACACACTCTGCTAGACATTCCTGTTGACAAGCCACATGGAGTTACACGCTGATGGCAGCCAGAGACCTCGAGATGATTTCCACCACCACTGGATCCACAACTTTCCACCCACAGGCCTGTGGTCTTCCTGCACTCGGCACCATTGCATGTTCCGTGTGAGTCTGAAGAGCAACTTACAGACTAGTACTGGGCATACGGGCTAATATCAGACTTCGGGACTTGATCTGGACTGAGTTAGGATGTTTGTGTGTGTGTGTGTGTGTGTGTGTGTGTAATACTTATTTTACTTTATTTTTTGATGAACAAGAGTTTTTAATTCTGATGAGGTTTCTTAAAAAAAATCATTTTATTAGGGGCTCGTACAACTCTTATCTCAATCCATCCATCCATTGTGTCAAGCACATTTGTACATTTGTTGCC